AACATTGCTGGGAAAATAGTGTTTGATATACGAACGCCTTCGTTCTGTGCCCAGACACCATCAACGACGCCAATGTCGTATCCCTGGAGATTACAGGCCCATAGACTGAAAAACAGACAATGGCAATATTGTTTTGGCCATTGTCTCCAACTACATCTTTCGTTTATCCTACTTGGCCAACCAGTCAGACAAAAGGAAGAGTGATAAGAAAATAATGTAGAAATTAAGAAATGTATTTTCTTGCCTGAGAAGTAGGTTGTTGCCTATTAACTAAGTAGTTCTCAAAACTAAAATTATTTGAACATTTACGAAATAAACTCGTTTTGAATAGTCTAATTAATTAAATATTCACTTTTTAAGCAAGAAAGGCTATACAGCCACAATGGCGGAAGTGATTACTGACAGTGAAAAGAAGTGAGAAAATATCATTTAGGGGAGAGATGACAATAAAAAAAACTGCATTTAAAAAGCAGAAGATGACGATTGACGTTCTTTTTAAAATTTTGAAAATGAGTAACGGATAGCGGTTCTGAATGAGAAATCGGAGAGCCGAGTTCGAATTCCATTCGTATTCATTGCATTCACTTACGTGCACTTACTTGGGAAAGGTACCAATCCCCTTCTATCCCCTAGCTATGTATAAATAGCAGGATAGACCTGGCTCTATAGCCTTGGATGACAACTGGTCTACTGCAGAAAGAAATGGCAACCTACTGCAGGAAAAAATCTGTATCGTCAGTCATGTATCGAAAGAGACATGATCGCCTAAGCGTGTATCACACATGACACATAACTGGCTGATATTCACTTACATGCTTGAGACCCTTGGGCAAAGTATGAATCCTCTTCTTCTCTCCCCAGCTATGGGTAAATAGCAGGACAGACCTGGATCTATAGACTTGGATAGCAATTGGTATACTGCAGAAAGAAATGGCAACCTACTGTGGGAAAAATCTGTATCGTCAGTCATGTATCGAAAAATACATGATCGCTTAAGCGTGTATCACGCATGTCACATAATTGACTGAGTTTACAAGAATGCAAGAAGATTGAAAAGATCTTCACAGGGGTGAAGCGTGCGAGATATTACGGCAGAATTCACGGTCGCATTAAGTAATTTTCTCAGTAAACTGATGAGACCTATCTGTCATTCGAGTACTAGGAGTGAATTCATGAAATTGAAGTACCAATGAGGAAAGCTCATCAGAACAATTCCCATGCAAGTGTTTCTAGAAAAGCTACAGGGAGGCTGTGTTACAGCGGGGGGGGGGATGATTGAACCCGAGATGCCAGATCAGTACCGATAAAATTGCATTATCCTCTTCCGATTTTGTCCAAGATTTGTCTACATACTTAGCAGAAGAACCAAACCAGATCTGGCAACAATATTCCATGACCGAAGTGCTGTCGATGTTCCAAAGATGAAAGCACATTAGAACATCGTCATTTGCAAGTAAACCCTTTTTGTGCTTTCACGATTTTACATTCGATTTCCTTTTTGATTTACACCAAAGATTTCATCTCGAATAAAGATGATAAAGCCACTAAGACAAAGCGGTTAATGAGTATCAAAGATTATAAGAAAAATATTAAAGAGAGAGGACAGTAATATAACTAGGCAGTTGAAGATGAAGATTGATTTAGCATTTCACTTTTTGAAGCAAAAAGTCAAAAGAAAGCTCCACAAGCGAGAACTGTGAGAAAGGCTGTTAGCATAGGACTTATGGTTTTATCTAGCAATTTTAACATTGAAGTGATGAGACCTAACCGCCAATCAGTTGCTGCGCTAAATTTCGTAAAGTGGATATACTAAAGAGGAAATCTCATCAGAACAATTACCATGAAAATATACATCAAAAAGGCACAATGAAGCCTTGTTATGACAGTGGGGAAAGGACTGGAGTTGTGATGCCAGATTAGAAAACAAACCCTTGCATATCTTTCTTTGATTTTGCAAGATAAATTATGGCGAGAAAAAATCTCTAGAAGCATGTACAAATATTTTGCATTGATTCATTTCGGACAGTCTTTGTCATAACCACGACTTTTGGATCAGCAAACTGGGTTAACCTGGCGGAGTCCATCCCTCTCCAGGACATTGGAAACCTTTCCTCTAGCAATGGCATGTCATCACTGCCTTTGACATATTGTCACTTCAATCCCATAATGTTAAACCTAACACCTGCTATTGCTAGAAACACGGTGGAATTAGCGTCCCTTTGTCGATCGCTCCAAAGGTGATAGCCTCTGAAACGCTACACTGTCTGTATAGATCGGTGTCAAAACTCTCACATATATGTAGATATAAGAATCATATTTGTGTGTACATGTATATTATATTTGAAAATATATATTTGAATTATATCGTTACGTTTGTATTTGGTTGTAGGTAAGTGTACATATTCCTGTAAATGAATAGAATGCTCCACTATGGTAACAGTACGCTATAAAAAGTAATATTAAATTTAAATAAACGATCAGGTCAATCAATATATATATATATACATTCCATTGTCCAAAGAGCATTCGGCCAATCCATTAGCAATTTTCAAGGGTTTTTTTTTTTTTTTGGTGTAGTTAGTTTCTTTTCATATTTTGACTGTGTGAGTGGTTTTAGAATAATAGTAGTAGCGTTTATTCTGAGCCTTCTCATGTTGAGCGCGGCTGAAACTCGAGTGAACAAAACTTTCAGCACGCCGCTGCCATTGTTAAATTAGGTGAGGTTGTCAGTGAGAGAGAACTGCTTTTCTTATGGTGAGATAATTTGGGTAATTTGATTTACCTAGAATTGTAGTGTTTTCGACCATAATATTCCTTAAGGGATCTTCTAGATTGTGGTCAAATGTTTTATGTCACTTTGCTCTGATAAGTGACACGTGAGGCGTCTACTCAATGATGTGGTAGTGTATCCGATATAGGCAACCACAAAAAACAGTCTTGTACTGTGCAGTGAAATTGATACACTATATATTGTCATCACGATTTACATTTGATGTGATTATTTTGAACACACACACACACACACACACACACACACGCACACACACACATACACATACACATATATATATATATATATATATATATATATATATATATATATATATATATATATATAAGTCTTTTTGGGAATTATTGTTGAGTGATTTTCCTTTGCCATCTCCACGATGAATTTATCGAGGCACCATATCTAGATAACTGACAAAGGTAAAGAACCAAAAATATTTCCACTACCAGTCTACACGGTTGTAAATTAGACAAATGATGACAGGGCATATGAAGAAAACAATACGCTAGCAACATCATTTGAGTGGGGTTGAAGATCTTCCATAGAGTCTAAGGCATTGGCACGCAACCGAAACATTGTGCGGCGACCACTCGGAGACTCAAAAGCCTTGGGACCAATGATGATGATGATGATGATGATGTTGGTGGTTTCTTTATCCCAACATTTAAAAATGACCTTTTACTATTATTTTACGTTTATTTTGGGTTTGAAGATCAGATATTGATTTTCTTACATTAATTTTAGACTTGTATCAATAAGGCATTTTTTTTTGCATGGTTTATCTGGCAGGATTTCGCATATCTTTGTTTCATTGTTTACTGCAAGGTATGATTCCCACAACATGTTTTCTTTCTAAAGAAAGGGATTTTTCAGTAGACAGGATCTAAGACACGTATTACTGCCAGAATAAGACTTTTATATGTATAATGAAAACGCGCTGCTAATAATTATACAGTATAAACTCACTCTAAATTAACAAGAAATATATTGACAAGTGGCTATGCGTTAATACAGGTATTTCTAACTCACTAAGTCTCACTTTATTGCCATACAGGATACCCTCTTGGGCAATCATATCACTTTCCATTCCTGACTGATTAGGCAGAAGATTCTGCTGCAGTAGGTTGCCATTTCATAATGCGATAAACTAGTTGTCAACTAAGACTATAGGACCCAATCTGCTATTCAACCCATAGCTGAGAGTGGAGACGAGATTGATTCATAACTTTCCCAACGGTATTTGCTCTTAAGTGAATCTAATGAACCCGACTGGAATTCGAACTCGGCTTTCTCAGTTCTGAAGTTATAATGAAAATGTTTACCTAATGTTTTTTTTTCTGTTATAAACTGCCATTCAAAATAAGGAGAAAATGGACAATATGTCTTGTTCAAGATTATTCTTATCACAAATATGTATAATTAAGGTATCCGAATATCCCATTCCTATCTCGTGGAAAATATATCATAGTAATTTAACTTGATATTACCAGTGTATCATAAGCCGATCTTGAAAATTTCTTTTCGACGTTACGGGATTATGCTTATCAGGTGGAAAAATAATCAATTGAAACCGTTGTCAGCATCGAAGCATTAGTTGATTATATCTCCTAACGAATCGATTACTTCTTCCTAGCATTCCTCACTCTAAGTAATAACTGTCTCCTTATTGTAACTCTGAATAGGAGATATTATAGCTAGAATGCAAATGTTTAGCTAATATTTTTTTATTATGTATAGCCATTCAAAGTAAGGAGAAAATGGATTGTTAGGGCTCAGAAATAAAGACATGTGTTTCTGACACAATAGTCTGATATATATTTATAAAGAAAATGCTTTACTGTAGAAATCTAATCTAAAATTAGCGTTATTAAAACAAAACAAAAAAAAACAAAACGTTTTTAATAACTGAAATAATCAGTAAAGATAATTAAAACCTTTCTCGACAACTTTTTCTGACTATTTAATTATATCTTCCTATAAATTTGCATCTTTCTCCCCAAAGAAATTCTCGTAGTGGCTTTTGCAATCTTTTATTGAATTGAAATGTTTCTCTTTTATTTAATTTGTCATAAAGACAATACTGTAAACAATGGTAATTCGAAAATTTCATATTTGGTGAAGTCTGCGAATGGATAAAAAAAAAAAATTCAAACTGGAATGTAACACATTTTGTTTAATTCGTAAAGTGGCCTAGTGCTATTTTTTTTTGGAGGGGACGATGTTGCCTCCTTGTTTGAAAACATTTTTTCTTCTTCTTCTTCTTCTTCTTCTTCTTCTTCTTCTTCTTCTTCTTCAGCATTATGTATCCCTTCAGAACATGGGGAATCATGGCGCTCCACAGCTTCTACAGCTTCCTCTCTTTTTAGCCATTAGTAAGGTTTGTCTTTTGCTATATATCCTAATTCCAGTTCTGTTTTCCCAAATATTTAAATAAGCTCGTCCTTCTTCTTCTTCTTCTTCTTCTTCTTCTTCTTCTTCTTCTTCTTCAATGTGCTGTGTTTTTGAAACGAAGATGTATCTCCACAACTTCCTGTCCTATGTAACGTTTGTATGCGCGGTGATATGCAGTTTTGAATCATCACATAAACAATACTGTTCTATATCTGAGTTAGTAAGGTCAGGTCCTGTTATATTCCGTGCTAATAGGAATATATACTTGAAAAACAAGGTGGTTAAAATAAGTAAAGGTTTATTGTAAAAGACAGTGCAATAAGAATAAAGGTAACAGTTATGCACAAGGTCGTCGCAAGTCAATCCAGTAGTGAGGCCTACTATTGGAAGGTCAGTAGTTCTTGCCTAAGTCTGAGTCGTATTTAACAGATCCCAGCTAGTAATATTTACCAACCTCCCCACGGGGTAGGATTTGACACAAGGCCGAATTTAATGTGGGGCAATCCGAGTCCGTAGGCTCGGCCAAGTATTCCCTGTAAAACCCCGCATAAACGGCTTCGTGTCTGTCTACCTCCCCGGACGAGACTCTGCCCTTCGGCATAGCCTCGTCCGGGTTCCTCTCTGCCCGAAGGCAGAGAATTCGACAACAGCTAAGAGCTGAGTAACAGATCCCAGCTAGTATATTTAGCTAACCCCCACTCCCACGAGGGTTACACGTGGCACAAGGCCGGATTTAACGTGGGATCTCCGAGTCCATAGACTCGGCCAAAAATATTTCCTCTTTGAACCCGCATAAACGGGTTCCGGGTCAGTCTACCTCCCCGAACGAGCGGAGCCTCGTCCGGGTTCCTCTCAGCCCGAAGGCAGAGAGTTCAACTCTCTAGCTGGAACAGGTCCCAGCTCGTCTCTTTAATCCGTTAAATTATAGCTACTTCTAAGTAGTTACAGCCTATAGTGTGGTTACTCATGGGGGTGACAGGTTATTCCATTACATCATACCCTCATCTATAACACCAACAAGGATAAGAATATTAGTGCCAGCAAAAATATTTTAAATAAAACAAATGTTTTCTTCCCAGCGGCTCAGTTTTTAAGAAAAATCTTTTGGAGTGAACGAAAAGAGTAAGTAGTAAGATTCTTGTTTTCTGTTTTACAGTGTTCAAAATTTGATGATTTTATTTGCTTTGATCTACCATACTTGTAGGAGATTGATTATTTAATGATAACATTCCCTCTACATTAATTTTATATTATTCGAAATGAACATATATTCATGTCTACTAGTCTTGATTAACATCGTTCATTATGATTTTATAATTGGTTCCATAATAACTCTCTTTATGGAGAACGAGGAAACTTTAATGAGGTCGTTATAATTAAAAATGCAATAGGTTTTCAAACGTTCAAGATATCCTCACACACACATATGAGTGGGCGGGCTGCTGTAAGGAGATTTACATCGTGTGCGTTAGTTTCAAATAGCAACAGTACTAAGTGTAACGTGACACTCGGATTAGTGCACCCACATGGAAGAGGAATTTTTATCTCCACAAGTGTTTCTATTTTATAACCGGCGGACGGCGTCCTTAGAGTTGAGGTCTATAAACAGAATCTACTTGACTGAGGGTGGGGACAGAAGAAATTTAGCGGATAAGAATTTTTAAGTCCCCCGCTATTTCCAGCTGTATTTTCAGCTTTCGTTTTCATGTGACCGTGTAGTGGCCTTTACACAGTTTTTACTGTTCACCGACGTGAACGAGAATGGAGATATAACTTTGGGTAGCCAATGGCCGCTTGATGGAAAGATGGATGAATGGTTGTTTGATATTGCTTGGCGAAATATTAACATCTATGGGTTTATTTAATGCCAAAAACTATTAGTCCTGGGTATGACGATAAACTACATCCTGCAGGAAGACCTCTGATCGGAAGATTGGGGATTTTGATAAGCGTGGGACCAGCTCTTAAATGATATGTTTCCCAGGCCCATTCTGACCCGATTGGTGGAAACTGTTATTCTCCCAGCTATGAGAAAATAGTGAAAACCTAAACAAAAGCCAAACATTATGAAGGTATAAAATACCTATATTTAGTAAAGTTACCAAGAAGACCTATTTATAACAAAATGACAGTAATACATTTTATTTTAGAATTATCAACAATGCATTTTATTTGTCATTGAAGGCATGCAATTACGTTCACAATATATTTAGCTGAAGCCATTAAATTGTGTTCAAAATATTTAGATTTCGGCATAAAATAACCCATAGAGTTGTTGATATTCCCCTAAATAATATCAACCAACCAAAATCCAAATATTTAGATTTCGGCATTAAATAACCTATACAAGTGTTGATATGCGGCTAAACAATATGAACCAACCAAAATCCAAATATTTAGATTTCGGCATTAAATAACCCATAGAGGTGTTGATATGCCGCTAAACAGTACCAATCAACCAATATCCAAATATTTATAATTCGGGATTGAGTAACCCATACAGGTTTTGATATGCTGCTAAATAGTACCAACTAATCAAAATCCAAATATTTAGATTCCGACATTAAACAACCCATATAGGCGTTGATATGCGGCTAAACAATATGAACAAACCACAATTCAAATATTTAGATTTCGGCTTTAAATAACCCATAGAGGTGTTGATATGCCGCTAAACAGTACCAATCAACCAATATCTAAATATTTATAATTCGGGATTGAGTAACCCATACAGGTTTTGATATGCTGCTAAATAGTACCAACTAATCAAAATCCAAATATTTAGATTCCGACATTAAACAACCCATATAGGCGTTGATATGTGGCTAAACAATATGAACAAACCACAATTCAAATATTTAGATTTCGGCTTTAAATAACCCATAGAGGTTTTGATATGCCGCTAGATAAAATCAACCAACCTGACGAAACCTAAATATTTTGTACGCAGTTTTAAGCTTCAACTATATATGTTTTGTCCATTATTTTATACATTCAGGATAAACTTATGCATTTTAGATATATAGTTTGTAGATGATTTTTTGATATTTTTTAAATGTAAAATTCTTAAATGGTATTCTTAAATGACAGCAATTTCATTACAAAAAAAATTATTTTTGTAATATTTAAAAAAAATATATATATTCCTGGTAATTTTACTAAAAATATGTATTTTATATCTTTTTAGTGGTGTATTTATTGTAATTTTTCCTATAAAAATGTTTTGTTGACAATATTATAATAAAAATGTAATGTTGCTTTTTCTTTGGATGGTCACTATTTACCCATAGGTGGGAACCTAACAGGTGCTACCATCATGTATTATGATGGATCTGGGAAGAACAACATTTAAGAGATGGTTCCACGCTTCTCAAAACCTCCCTGGTCAGATTCTTTGCTACCGGATGTAGTTTATCGTCATACCCAGGAAAGAAAGATGAACGGGGATCGCGTTGTATGTTTGCAGTAAGTGGATGATATAATCAAACATTTACTTTAATAATCTATTTCATGGGTTAATTTTCAAAACCTTTAGATAGTATGGAATAACGGCATTAAAAGAAATGACATATTTGGATGGAAAGTTGTTTTCTTTTGGGCTTCTTACTTTTACAGTGAATTGGATCAATGTCCAAGACAATTTATATATAGTAATGTAGGCATTGAAGATGAGGAATGTTCGAGAGTAACTGACGAGATAAGGTAATAGTATGATATCCAACATTGTAAGATAAAAATTACTTACTTTTTTTTAAATTTAAAAAGAAAGGAGAAATTCTCTCTGAATTTCTAAGATGTGAAGAGATGGGCACTAGTCACTTAAACATTCCATACTGTATCCGAAATGAATCTACGAATAAAAACTAGTGTCGCAGTTTGCATTCACTGCGACAATGTATGGACAATGAAAAGGGATATGTACGTTGGTCTAAAAAAGATTTTGAACAATATATATATATATATATATATATATATATATATATATATGTGTGTGTGTGTGTGTGTGTGTGTTTCATTAAATAATATAGACAAGTTTTGTATATTTTAAGTAACTTCATATTAAGCAACTTCATGTTGTCTGATAAGCTTAATAACATTATCGTTGAAAGACGAACGGAAATCACCATATTGATACATGTTTTAATCTTATCTAAGCTTTCGGCTTACATCAGCCATTATCAAAGATGACAAATACATTTCAATATATCAAGCAATACACGGACGAAACAATGATGATAATCTGTTTTTGTTGCATGGAGAATTTCAAACCAACGACTAACTCATGTATACGAGACACGGAAGCGAAAATCTCATCGCAGCTCGTGACGTCAAACATGACCATGCGAGAGTGAAAACGAGAAATATTAAGTATGGGAAGCCGTTGCTATAAACCAATGGCTTCTATTACCAATTATAGGCATTTAAGAATATTTGTGGGGATTTTGCAGTTTATTTTGTTCAGGTTAGGTTTTAACTGTTTTATGTATATAGCTTCAAGAATTTAATGAAACATGCATCAATGAAAATTTGCTGCCTAAATATACACAATATCAATATATATATATATATATATATATATATATATATATATATATATATATATATATATATTGATATTGTGTACATATATATATATATATATATATATATATATATATATATATATATATATATATATCAACAAACTTTTTACCAAGTTTTCCAAGAAATGGGACTCAAGATAAACATTTCCAAATCAGAAACTATGATCTGAAATTGGTATGCGCGTTCACTGATTACTTAATAAAAAATTAGGATGTGGAATTGGTAAAATGCTGAAGACTTCAATTTGATTGGTGTATGAATTGGGTATAATAAATTTACTATATGAGATAAAGAAACAGACTTGTTAGATTGAGACCTTCCTATGGATATCATGTATGTCCCAAGCTCATTTGGAAATATCTAAACTGTCAGATGTACAGGTTTGAGATAATGAATCATGTAGGTCACGGCGAGAACCACATTGCTTCGAAACTTATGGACAGGCGCTACAGAAACAAAAACAAATAACTCTACCAAATAACAGAAACGATATCACTTGAGGACTTTCAACAGCAGCAACAACAAAAATGGATAGTATATGTGAATCGAAGATAAAATAATGCCACATATTTTACCCTCCATAATCCATCAAAGAAAAGGTTAGGAAGAAAAGCCTTCATCAATACAGGAACGAGCGATAACAGTTACTCTTTTCTAGTATAATTGCTTTAAGAGAATGATTTCGTATAAGGTTGTTACATAAATTCGTTCGTTTTATTTTATAATTCATTTTAATATTTATTCTTTTGTATTAGTTTTGGTGAAGCGTTTAACAATATATTCCCCATCATTGTTTACGACAACCTGCCAACGATCCCCTAACTGTTCAATACCTCGACGATAGAAACCAATAGGTTTTGACTCGACAAATTCATTGAGCCGTGTTTTAAGCTCTACATCATTATTGAATGAAACATCCCTGAAATTGTTAGAAAGCAACTGAAAAAGTTTGTAGTCTGAAAGGGCTAAATCATGGCAACTGAGCTCTTGAATCCTATGTTTGGTCATGCTAGCGATGTGGGAGTGCATTGTCGTGCTGAAGAGTCACACTGTATTGCCGGTCAGGTTTTTTTTCAGTTGAATTGCAACTTTGAGCCTCTGTCCATTTATTCAACATACAGCTTAGCATTGGCCATTTGGTTGGTTTAAAACATTTAATAGTAAATTACTTCTTGCCACTCGACCAAACGCATATCATTCGCTTGCATTAATGCAGCTCTGGCTTGTTTCTGAATGTTGCCTGTTCGTCGGGTTCAAATATTCTTTTCTTCATGTTCCCTTAAAGACACCATTTCTCACCCACAATGACAATATGGTGAAGTAATATTTATTTGTATTTACCAGGTGTCGAGCGAGTATACTGATGGCAATGGAGGAGCACTGGTGTTTGTTTCGGTCAATGCGTGTGGCACCCATGAGCCGTGTTCATTGAGTGAAGATGACGATCGACAGTAACATGGTAGCTTGCCATCTTCTGAATCAATTCCCTAATGTTTTGTGGCGATTCTTCTTTAATCAACGTGTGAAAGTGGTATTCTTCAAACTGAACAAGATGATGAGAACGCGTAGATTCTATTGGTTTGAACTTCATTTATATGCCATTCTGTTGGCCATAAAGTCAGCTGCGTACACAGTACAAATGTTTTGAGCACTTTAGGTAACTTAGTGAGGTTTATTAAAAGCGAATACATTAATAATAATTCTTATCTACAAGGCATTCTATCTCAAAGAGGTGTGCAATCTGAATAAAATTTAAATAAAGTTAGGCAGGATTCACAGGATGATCATCCTTACTAACTTGTAAAAATGTACTAGGAAAAATTATTCTTCGTTTATTCTTCGAGATTATTCTTCGAGATAATTCGTCAAGTTTATTCTTCGAGATCATTCGTCGAATTTATTCTTCGAGATCATTCCTCGATATTATCCTTCAAGACCCTTCGTCAAGTTTATTCTTCGAGATCATTCTTCGATATTATTCTTCGAGATTATTCTTCTAGATAATTCTTCAAAATTATTCCTCGAGATCATTCTTCAAGATTATTATTCAAGATCATTCTTCGAGATTGTTCTTCAAGATCATTCTTTAAGATTATTCTTCGAGATCATTCTTCGAGATCATTCGTCGAAATTATTCTTCGAGATTATTCTTCAAGATCATTCTTCGAGATCATTGTTTGAGATTATTCTTCGAGATCATTCTTCGAGATCATTCGTCGAAATTATTCATCGAGGTCATTCTTCGAGATCATTCTTTGACGTTATTATTCAAGATCATTCTTCGAGATTATTCTTCAAGATCATTCTTCGGAATCATTCTTCCAGTTTATTCTTTAAGATCATTCTTTGAGTATATTCTTCGAGATCATTCTTAGAGATCATTAGGTAGAGAATAAAGCAAACGAACGAATATATCTAACAACCTAATAAATTTGTATCTACAGTATCACTGGCTTTTCGACCAATGAATTCTGTATATTTCCTTTAGCCCAAACAATTATATGCAGAAAATCTGAGATAGAAGAAAAAAAGGAGAAAATGCAATGTCTGGCTTTACGGGCAGTTTACTATTTAATTAGACTTACATCATTTTATAGCATTAACTTCATAAAATACCCAGTGTTATAAAAATCCCAAACAGTTTGTTTCAATACAGATAATTCATCTTTTACGAGAAGTGTTATATATAAATAAATAAAAAAAATATAATAATGATTCCCATTTAAGGGTTCATAAGCGACTATATTCCGATATTTTTGTTCGCATACGAGGTTCGTTCAAAAAGTTCTCAGCCTCACCTAGGAGGAGATGGCGAAACTGTTTTTCACTATCTTTTCAGTATAGTCCTCCTTGAAATCAATGCACTTGTACCAAAGATGCACAAACATTGCAATCACGGAAATAGGTGGCGTTTTGGTCCACCAAAAACTCCTACACAGCGCATAAGATCTATTCATTGTTTCCATAATAGAAACAGCGGAGGTAGGATTTGATTTTAGGAAACAGGAAGAAGTCAGATTGAGCTAAGACTGGTGAGTAAGGGAGATTAGTCGCATTTCAAAGCCACAGTTGGCTGCTTCAGTTACCGCAAACCTGAGCATTTTGAACGAGGGCGTTAACCTGGAGCAAGAGGATACCTGTCCCCCGTTTCCATCTTCGATTTGATTGTTTCCTTTAGTTTTCTTAATTCTAATGCATATTACCGTCTAATAATAGTTTTTTTTTTCTTTTCCCAGGTAGTCTATCAATATTCCTTCACAAGCCCAAAAAACAGAAGCCATCACCTTACCAACAGACTCTTCTACTTCAACTTCTTCCGAGGTGGAGAATAAGTGTGTTTCTACTGTTTGCTTTGCATCTTTGATTCGGATTCGAAGTGGTGAACCTAGATTTATTAATCTGCGGTGGAAATTCTCAGGGTCAACCTGGGAGCGAGTCCGTAATGTCATGGAAATGTCAACCCTTTTCAGCTTCTGCTCTGGTGTCAGCATTCTTGGGTCCCATCTTACAGACAGCTTGCTCATCTCCAAGGTCTCAAAACAGTATGGACTAAATCAGAACTAAAGCCTATGGACTTAGCTACCGGCTAGACAATAAGACGTCTCTCATCCAACACGGTTAATGGCGATATTTAGTCACCTCCCACGAGGGTGTCATGTGGCACAAGGCCTTTTTAACGTGAGATTTCCGACCCCGTGGGCTCGATCAAAAATATGCCCATTGAACCCGTATAAACGGGTTCAGGACCGGTTTTAGAGAGTTCAACCGAACAGTCGCTCAGAAAGTAATGACTCGACTGACTCAATACGGTGAATGGCAGGAACTTGTTCATCAGTGCTTGAGGTTTTTGGACCACTTAACCGAGTGCGAGAGGCTTAGAACTTTTCAAACGAACGAACCTCGTATATTGGTGTGTGATTATTATTATTATTAGTGAGTGCTCATGGCAGTAGTAACTGGGGAGGGTTAACCTGTTATTTAAGCGACGGCCAGTCTCCTTTATACCCTAATGGATAGAGATTAGGAAGGTGAAATTTGAGAACTGAGCTTGAATTCCAGTCGGGTTCCTTATAATTAGTTACAGAGAAAAAAAACTTAGAAAAGGTATAAATCCATTACTACTCCTCCAGCTATGGGTTAAATAGTAGCTCTTGTATTACTATTCTAAAATCTTTTTAATCATATTAATCATTTTAAAAAAATCATACAATCTAGAATATGTTACGAATTTAAATAACCCAGAAAGGGTTGACAAACTGTAAAATAGCCAAATAAATCAATAAATCCTAATTATTCTGCTGTTTTCTGTAAGGTTCCAAGTGTTCCAGTGATTTTAAAGTCTTCCGGCTCTTTTCTACGTTTTTTTTTTTTTTTTTTTTCGCGGCAGAAACGAGTGATCCGAAAACAACTATACTACACTCATATATATATACTCCAACTTCACTAGTTTTCAGGCAAAGTCAAAACGATTCCAACTACTCGTGTTTCATTCTGTGATCCGTGACAAAAGACGGTAATACCAATGAATGTGGGAGCACTTTGAAGTATCTCGAAAGATTTAAGGAATTTTTGAAAAAAAAGTATTGCAAGGATTGAAAAAACTTTGCAGAATTTAAATCTATCTATCTATCTATCTATCTATCTATCTATCTATCTATCTATCTATCTATCTATCACAGTCTGTTCATTATCTATCTATCTATGTTTATATCTATCTATATCAGTCTGTTAATATCTATCTATCTCAGTCTGTTCATATGTATCAATCTCTTTTATATCTCTCTATCTACCTATCTATATATCTGATTCTATTCATATCTATCAATCTCAGTCTGTTTCTATCTATCTATCTATCTATCTATCTGTCAGTCTGTTCATACCTATCAATCTCAATCGGTTTATATCTATCTATCTATCTATCTATCTATCACAGTCTGTTCATTATCTATGTATGTATATATGTATCTATCTATCTCAGTTTGTTCATATCTATCAATCTAAGTCTGTTTATATCTATCTATCTAT